CTTACAGGGTGGGAGGAGATTTGAAAGGAAAGGGCACAGATCCTTAAAAGAACTTCCCATTAAAAATGAATCCTGATGCTATTCTGGTTCAAGAGAAAGCTCCAAATACACAAAGGTAAGTAAATGGGATGGGAAGAGAGAGGAAGGGGAAAGAATGAGCAAGGGAGGGGGAGAAAAAGTGAGAAAAAGGAAAGGGAGATTGAGAAAAAGGGGGAAGGGAGAGAGAGGGAGAGAGAAGGAGCACGCGCGCGTGCCCATCTGGGCGATGCATCACATTGAAATTGCCCCGCATTAAAAATTCACCAGCCAGTGAATTTTCAAGGGATTTGTAGTAATTAGATGACAAAATGCTGGCAAATCTCAGGCTTGCCGAAGATGTTACTCAGGGGTCAAAGACTCGACACTTTTGGCTGGGTAATTTGTAAGTGTCAATCACACTCAGCCATCAGAGAGAAAGGAAAGATCTAACGGCTGAATTCTAACTAAGTCCAATGTTCTTGCCTTCAGCCACCCTGTCTGCTATCATCCCCCGTCTCCCCCCACCACGTTATCTAATGCGAACGCAGGCACTGCCTCTCACCAGGGACTGGAGACTCAGCAGTTTAAACACTGAGTTTTCTTTTACAAAAACTTCCCACTTACGATTTTTAAAACCCAGATTTATGAACTAAGAGAAATTTGTTCAGTTCTCCAGGGAGCCGGTGAGATGACGACACAGAGGTTATGACAATAGGCAGCTTCTCTGCGACTACTGCCTTTCCCTAGATCTCCCATGCCCCTTTCACTAACTGGCAGCGGAGTACACAGTGGCACATCAATACTTCTAGAGCAGACCCTCAAAAAGCCCACGGCTGCTTCTTTAGTGGCTGGGAAAGCTGGATTTCCTCATTCCTTGATAGGTTCTTAGACTTGCTTTCCAACACTGGTCTCTTCCCCACACCTCACACTTCCTGCCTCCCCTGGTTCTGGCCTCCTTGGGAAAAGTACAATTCTCAGTTAACAAATGAGAAACTGTTTTATTCAGACTGTTGTGGAAGACCAAGGCCCTGATCCTGCAATTAACTCAATATGGGTATAAACCATTGTGTTCATTCGCAGCCATCTGCAGTCAGTAGGGTCTGTATGGGTGTAGGGCCCTGGCTGCATGGAGATCAAGTATCCTTAATTAGCAAACCCAGTAGGAAACCAAAGGCAGAGTAACTGAAGGAAAATCACTGCATGAACAACACTGCCAAGATTAAAGTGGTAGGAAAGAAAGGGAATGATTTACTCCACTTTTCTATTTATTAACCAACACACTCTCTGTGAAGTATATCTAGGTGCAGGAATCTCAGACAAAAGAGGTCAGACGCTTGCTGCTGCAAAAGAAACAGCAGCTTGGAGGGGAGGATAAGAGAAAGTTTGTACTGCAGAGTCTTTTTGGAAGGACCACTCAGATTTACAGAATTACTCCATACTTACACCAAGACAAGAGCAGGGGTTGGACTCAAGAAGCCTGAGACACAGTGGGGCACAGGACTCAGCAATGCTGATGCTGAACTGCAGCTGTACCCTTCTTCCATGAGGATTTATACGGATGTAAGGCTTGTATGTATACAAGTTTTATGTGAGGGTACTGCTGACCTAAATTGCACTCGTGATTTATGGAAAAGGCATTCAGACTTTTGACCCCTAAAGGCCAGATGAGGGGCATGGGGCTGGATTAGACTCCATGATGACTCAGCATGCCAGGATCAGGCCCTCTGCCTGCCTCCTGTTGGGATGGGGCCCCAGGGCTAACACCACCCCTGCCCAGTCCAGTGTGCCAGAAACAGGGTCTGGGGCCCTGTGCACCCAATCTAGTGCACGGGGTCATGGTCTGTGGGGCTCTGCATGCACCCATGGGGAATCCCACAGGCTTGATTACACGGTGGCAAGGGCCGTAACTGCCCTGTAGGCTGGGGGTTGAGCACTCCTGGTTTATGGCAATCATCAGACTCCCTGTAATAGCATAACAGCCCTGCAATTCATAGCTACTTCTTCATTCCCTATTCCCTATATAGATGCAAAACAATATTGTTTGGATTCACAAGAGGGCAAAAAGTACTCACTTCTCCTAAATTTTATGTGGGTGCCATTGGGTATGAACAGGCATTCATTTCTAGCTGTGGAAATTGGTGAGAAATTTCCACTGCTAGAAATCTTTCTGGGAGAGAGAGCAATACAGGAGTTCAGCCTGCAGCCACCCCCTCTTCCTTGCTCTCTACACTTTTCCTAGACCAGGGCAATCCTCATCTAGGAAAAGCATGGGAAGCAGTGACTGCTCCTCTTCTCCAGGTCCTGGTGGAGGCAAGGAATGGGTTGGAAAGGTCAAGAAAGACCCTCCGCAATTCTGGGACTTCAGTCCGGAGAACAGCTGGGGAGCAATGGGTGCTGTTCCTCTGTTCTGCTCTTGGGCTGTTCAACCTCAAGGAAAGAGAGAGAGAGAGAAAGAGAAGGGGGATGGAGAGCTTTGGACCAGACCTGGACATGACCAGACCAATATACACAAGCATTCATTCTTATGAGAGTAACCTGGAGGGGGCATGTTTGGTCTAGGATAAACTGAATGAATGCTTATAGATGCTGGGTTTATAGCAGAAGAATAGTGACTGTCTTTGTAGAAATGCAATACCTGTACCTGCCCATTATCCACAGCCCCTAAATCCCAAGACCTCCATCTGTTTCAAGAATGATAAAGAGGGAGGAGAAAAAAGAATGGCTGAAACTGTAGGAGCAGGACTGCTATAAAAACCCAACAATCAGGAGTCAAAAGCCAACCCTAGCCCATCAGCTCCCAGAGCAGAAAGTTCGTTCTCTGCATGACAATGAAGAATTAACAAGATACCAGAAAAATATATATACATATCAAAGTCTCAGAAAAAAGCAGTCCTCTTTCTTCATTGCTGTCTGCTAAATTTTGCAAAAGTCTGTTCATTGTAGAAACAGGGGAAATGGGGTAGGGCAAGGGGAATTCACTTATAGTCATAGTCTGTCTAGAAACCAGTCCACAATCTCACACTGGAGAATGATGGGATTGTAATAATCAGTGGTACCTCAACCAGCAGTGTTGGATTGCTCTCAACACCTACCACTGCCCTTTATCAATAAGGTAGGTGGCTGTAACAGTTGCTTAGGTTTTCTCTTTAATTAAAAAAGTTATTTGCAGTTGCAAAACGCTGCCTGACAACAACACAGTCTTTGGTTGGGATTGTTTTCCATTAGCCAGTAGTTGAATTTTGATTCTATTATACACATTTAAACAGCATTAATTATAGATTACCACACATAAGGCTTCATACAGGTGCCTGTTTTATTATTGTTTACACTGGGGCTTGATCCCAGCTCAATGAATATTTCTTTCACTGAGGAATACATAAATATGTATTCAGCCCCCCTCCCTCTACACGCACTCAAAATGGGTAAGTAACAAAGCAACTGTCATTATATCATTCTGATGCACAATCAAATCAAACTTATCCAAAGAAACTAGCCCTTTAAAGGTTCCAGACCATGGAATATCTTCTGAGTTTGAATCCAATGGCATAAAACATTTCAGTTTTCAAAAGCACATGGATGACTAAGTCCCACTGAAAGACCCCTGGACTGCCACTGAGATTTAGGTTCCTAAGTCACAATTAGAAAGGGATCTTACCTTCCTAAATATTTTGGCGCTTTTGGAAACAATAGCCACTCAATCAAACTTAACGTCAATAATGTGCTAGAGTTCTGCTGATTCCAAACTGTCCCAAACATGTGCTTAAATGCTCTGCTGTATTGGCACATTCATCTCCTTAAGACATTTTTGTTGGGGAACTTGGGTAGTTTCATAGTAGCTAGGGTCAGGAGGGACCTGATCAGATCACCTAGCCTGACCCCCTGCCACAGGCAGGAATGAATGCTGGGTTCACAAGACCCCAGACAGGTGATCATCCAACCTCCTCTTGAATTTGCCCAAGGCAGGGGCAAGGACCACTTCCCTGGGAAGTTGGTTCCAGATTTTGGCCACCCTAGCTGTAAAAAATTGCCTTCTGATCTCTAACCTAAACCTATTCTCCATCAGCTTATTACCATTGTTCTTTGTCACCCCAGGTGGTGCTGGGGAGAATAGCACTCTTCCTATTTGCTGTTGATCTCCCCTGACGGCTTTGTAGGCAGCCATTAGGTCCTCCTTCAGCCTCCTTTTGCTGAGGCTGAACAGGTTCAGGTCCCTCAGTCTC